ATCTCTGGGGAGTGGCTCAGTTGGTTAAGCGTCCAACTCTTGATTTTGGCTCAGGTCATGATCTCAGGGTTGTGAGATCCATCCCAGTGTCGGGCTCTACCCTGGGCTGGAGCCTGCTTGGGATTCTCTCTCTCCCTCCCCCCCCTTCCCCTCTCCCCCCTTCCTCTCCCCCTCTCAAAGAAAGAAAGAAAGAAAGAAAGAAAGAAAGAAAGAAAGGAAGGAAGAAAAAAAATCTTCATTTAAGTTCACTAAACAATTAATGAGTCATTAACATTCACATTACAAGAAGATTCTTAATGATAGGTCACTGACATAAATTCCTTACGGGATTCCCTAAATTTTTTTATATCTCACATTCCATCAAAAGCAGTCTACCAAACAACTTGTATCATAACTAAGAACAAAAAGAACAGTTTTCTGAGAAAAATATTTATATATTTAAAAGAATTCATTTAAACTATCACTCGAGATTGAATTTTAGTTTGTAAAATTTTTCAGAGTTAAAACAGCATTAGAAATAAATTTTAGTAAAACAAAATTATATCACATCAATAGACTAATATTCACTGAGGAAAGAGAGAAAACACATTCAATGTCTACTATGTACCAGAAACTATGGTAGATATTTTGCATAGACTAGCTTAATTCATTTTACAGTCAGATAAAGTTGGCATTATTAAGAGTCATTCCACAGTTGGCAAAAGTGATTCTCAGAGTTGTCCACAGTGGTTTAAAGGGAGGGCTCTAGAGTCAGGCTTTCAGGATTAGGATTCTGGTTCTAATCTGCCACTTAATAAGTCCTGTGCCTTGAGGAAGTTACTCAGTTTTTCTCTCTCTCATCATCAGAAAGTACTGGATGAGAAAATACAGTTACAGAGACTGGCACATAGTAAGTACTCAGTAAATGCCATGTACTACTACTACTACACACCCTCGAACAATCCTATCACCTAAGATCAGATAGTACAGAACACTGGTTTGAGTCTTAATCTGTCTGACACAAAAGAAGTCCTGCTCATTGCATCACATTGTTGCTAATGAGAATTTTTTGCTTAGTTTATTTTTAGTTGTTTGATAAACAAAAGCCTATTTATACCTTGCACCAGAAAATGTATTTTTTTCAAAGCAAATTCTTCCCATATTACACAATAAGGAAGGTTTATTTTATAACACATAAAGAATTTAATAACATATGTTCTGAAAAAAAGGAGGGTGGACCAAATGAGAAAGATATGTCATTTACAATATATCTGATCATCCAAATCAAAGGAAAATTAAATTTCTAATTTATTGAGTCATTCTGAGATACAAAATACAAAAAATATGATTAAGATTAGAGTTATACTTCTTGAAATAATTTATTAATCATATGTTCATTCTTTTAGTCATTAAAACTATTTATTAAATGTCTAATGAAAGGCAATTTGTTTAGTTATTGCTCTCAATATTCACTGGACTGAGACTGATGAGTCCAATATAAAATAGTTCCTGAGGAATGACAAAACATGCAAAAAAACATCCAAACAGCTTTGATCACTTGGCAGAATTATTCAAGGTCATCACAGGGCTTAAGAATCATTATGAATAGAATGAAATCAAAATGGTAACTACATATTGGCCTAATTTACTTATGAAAAACAGATAACATCAAAAATACTGTTTGTGATGCCACAAGCTATTTAACTCAGTTCAGTAATATTTATCTACTCATTGTGTTGGTGAATTTTTTTGTGCCATGATAAAAGCTAAAACTACATGTTAAAAGAAAAGGTGACAGGAAGTGTTATTCCTGGAAATTTAAGTACTAAAGGGGCAGCTATACAAGGTCCAAAAACCAGCTAAAGAAAAATCAACCTAAACCCTTCCAGGCTTTCTTTGACTTGGTGTTGGCTTCACAACTTGAGTTAACACATCCTCTATTTTAAGCCACCATATCTAGAAAATGGATAGTTCAAAACCAGTTTTCATCACTACAATTAAAGTTCAAAATATAAGTCCTAATTAACTACTTAAGTCTCTATTGTAAATAATATCACTGATAGAAGTTCAAATATAAAGTAATACGGCCCATATTATAATAACCAATTTCCAAGATTAAGGATATATAATTTTAAAATATAAAACCATAGTATTAGAGATACTCTTGTAGATTATCTAGCCCACTGTCATGGTAACAAAACCCAGCATGTACTGAGTGCTTACTATAATGATCTATGTATTTTTATCACATTTAATCTAAATAATCCAATGTGCTATTATTATTGCAATTTTATAATGGTGGAAACGGAAGCACAAAATTGTTAACATATTCAAAGTTGCACTAATAATACAGTAAACCCAGGATTTGAGCCCAAGTCTGTCTGACTTGAAAGTCCACATATATAACAACCATAATACATAGCCTTCATAATAAAACAAAGCCGCAAAAATTCTGCACAAAGCCTATTTATAAAGGCTCCAGAAAGTAAGATTTTTCCTTCAATAAATTATTTTAATACTAACCCCCTATGTAGAGTAAAACTCATCAAGATTTCTAAGGACAGTATAATAATACCACCAGAGAAACAATAAAAAGTTCATAAAAAAGGACTACTGAGTGGAGGAAAGAACATGGAAATTAAATGCTTCAGCTTGAAACACAGAAGACAGAGAACTGATTTTATAGCTTAGCTCAATTTCTCCAAAAAGTAATCAAAAATTAGATAATATAATTGTTGGCATATGTTTATTATGCAAACAGATTTTCAAAAAAAGAATATAACTAATTCTCTCTGGAAATTTAAAAACTTCAAATAGGCTCTCCTTCATCTAGAATAATTTAATAATAACTAAAAATAAGAGGATATGTCCTATTTCAAGGTCTCATTCATCTATATGAATTTATGATATAGCCAGAAAACAAGAAACTCTATCGACCCTTGCCCTACAGTTAAGAATCTGGGTTCTTCAAGTAGAGGGAGAGGTCCCATTTAATAACTTGGTTTTAACACTTTAAAAACCAAGATTATACCACTGATGCACACACTTATCTATAACGGCCCCCTTCAAAACTTGAAATAACAAGACTATTATTACTGATAGATACAATTTTCCACAAAAGAGCCAACCTCAGACATCAAGGGCTTTGACACAATTAATGCAAAAGTATTAGATAAGAATTCAAAATAGCACATAACTGAATTGCAGGGTAGCTTGGAATTGGGTATGTATTATTACTAAAGAGGATAGTGATACTTTTCTTATATGTTTTCTGTTGGATTTAAACTAAGAACATGTATATAGCTACAAAAGTTGAAGTTATTTATTACAGAGAAAAAATTAAGATGAATGATACAAAAGAACTAAAACCAAATAAAAATGAAAATCAGAATGCTGACCCCTTACATTGTCTTCTATCTCCATGATGAAATAAATACAGTTTAAATACCAAAATATAAACATTAAAATGAGTTTTGAAGACAGGCAATGAAAAATAACCATGTGCCCTGGATGAATGGACCAGATAACCTGTTAAAATATGATTTTAGCACTAAGATTTTATAATAGCTATTCATGTAGATATATATTATTGTGACAGTTTTAGTTATTACATTTTCAAACTATATAATCTTTCTACTTTTTCTTCACAAAGCAACAAATTCCATTCCAGGTTAAAATGATTATAGACAATATTAATTCATAAAGAATATTTAAATTACACATGGGAGTTTTTCTAAGGCTACTTCATCCCCAACTTCTTTCCATAGAACTTACTAAGTTTTTAATTATTGATTCCAATGTATATTGGTTCACTTAGATGATAAAGAGCAAAACATCTGAATTTCGATCCAGGACTGAAATTTAAAGTTTTATCTTTCCACTAGGCTGATATCCAGCCCTCCCGATGAAATTATTTAAGATCTTATAGCAATATATCACAGCAGGGCATGATCTCAGGATTCCTTTTTACTTCAAGACTACAACTTTTACACTGATATAAAAGAAAGCATGACCCATGGATAGGAGCTGGGTGTTGTTAAGTGTACAGGTCACATTTATACTTATGTTTATACAAAATTTATACAAAACAGAATTTTGTTAATAGCTTATTTAGATAATAAATATGAGAAGATCATGTTAAATTTCAATGGACTTTATTTTCTCATCTTTGCTTTATTCACTAGATTTTCCAACATTCAAAATTGGATGATCCATGAAGAACTTCATATATATGTGTAAATACTAGGGAAGCATTCCTATATTGTTTCTGGAGTAAAAAAGAATGTTTACCTGTATGATTTTCTCTTAAAATTTTCCAAACATAGCAATGTACAGATTAAAAATAGTTGTTAAAATTCACATTTAACTTCTTATAGAAATGATTCTAAGATACAAAATTAAATCAGCATTTGATGCATGAGGTATGTTTTAATAAAAAGGAAGGAAGCTACAGAATTGAACATGAAATAAACCTAATTAGAAAGTAACAATTTTTATATAAACATGGATAAGCCACTGGGTAGATTTGGATTCTCATATATGAACTATATATAAAGGAAAGCTAATATCAATATTATACTAGTATTATGATAACATAAGTACAAAATAATACTAATATATAATATATAAATTATGTAACTATTATCAAATACCATTTTTTCAGAATAACTTTACCCTAGTAATTTTGTTTAAGCTAACAGGATTTCATGGATGATCCAAACCATAAGCATTTCCAAAGGATAGGGTTAGGACTAATACTTTTCCTCAATTTTTATTAAAATCATTACACTACATCTGGTAAGAAGTTTTGATTTATTATCAAGCAAGTCATTTCTTTATGATTTTAAGTGCAAAGTTTTAATATTGTGTGGATATATATCTGCCTTAGTCTAAAGAAACTTTTATTAGCACTTCAGGGATAAAAAACAAATATTGTAATACATTTACACAGCATCAACTATGCCAGGCATAATCTAAGTGTATAAAAATTACAAGAAATTACAAATTTAAAGAAAACTTACCAGACAGTTGTTTCCACTTGACTGTCATTGAGCTGCCGATTGTCCAGTTGAGCAAAAAGTGGAAAAAGCACTTGAATCCCTCCAATTGAATGAATTGCACTATGAATTGAATGTGTTACTATAGCTTTCACATCCTATGTTCAAAAACAAAATTGTGTATTAAACTCCTGAAGAATAAAGTTATCACTATTTCCTTGTTCCAAATAACTTTGTAAAAAATTTTTAAAACAAAGACATTTTAAATCCCTCAATTATAAAATTTTTGACACACATATAAAATAAAATCTTTGCCAACCACTTTTAAATTGGAATAAGTTGAGATTTTTTAGACTGAAAATATGAAGCTATAAATCAAAAAACAATTTAGAATAAGAAATACTATTAGTAGATTTAAAGATTTCCAAGTACTTTTTATATGGGGGTGTGATACTAGTACATTCTTAAAGCAGAGTATATTTTTGTGTCTAACAACTATCTGTGCAGCTAATCAACTGATTTTATTTCAAAGGATTATAGAACAGACAAGATAACAGAGACGACATATTCCCTACTAAGGAGACTGACTAGTCCAGGGTAAAGTATATTGCCAAAAAATAAAAATAGGAAAATAAGGGAGAAGGTGAAATGTTATTCAAAGAACTAGAAAAAAACAAAAAAGAAAAATAAATAGCAACCATAGATCTACACATTAGCAAGCTTTAAAATGTAATGAGAACGTTTAAAACGTAAATGAGAACATTAAACTAAGCTACTATTCACCAACCTGGAGCATGAGAGCGTGTGGGGAATGAACAAAAATTGATGCATTTTCCTTTGGTGATGATTCCAAGCATAGCTGAGCATCGGTGGCCTTAGCATTATATGTAAATGCAATACTACTTGCAAGTTTCCCATCATACAGAACCTGTTTATGATGTTCTGCCAAATGAATGTCACTCTCAGATTTAAATTTGAAGGTGCTCTGAAAAAATAAAACTAAATTAAATACTCTTTTTAAATGTAACATAATAAAATTCTCAAGTTTTAAAACACAGAAACATTTGAAATAATAGACAATTAGTTTTGACCCTTCCAAGTGTCAGGCATTAGCGGTATTATATTATTTCATTATTCTCACTTCAATTCTATGAGTTAAATTTTACTCATCATGTTAATAAACAGACTCAGATCTGAATTTTTTGTTTTTATTGTTTTTGATTATTTTTAAAATAATTTTATTAGAAAAAATGTAAATGTTATTACATCTGTAGTAAAAGGATTTTGATTTAAAACTTCATATCATAAACTATATTTCAATAGTTACCCTGAATGTGAATGGGCTAAATGCCACGATCAAAAGACAGAGGCTATCGGAAATGGATAAAAAAACAAGGCCCATCAATACGCTGTCTGCAAGAGACTCATTTTAGAGCCAAAAACACCCCCAGATTGAAAGGGAGGGGGTGGAAAACCATTTACCATGCTCATGGACACCAAAAGAAAGCTGGGGTGACAATCCTTACATCAGACAAATATGATTTTAAACCAAAGACTATAATAAGAGATGGGAAGAACACTATATCCTACTTAAAGAGTCTATCCAACAAGAAGACCTAACAAGTAAATATCTATGCCCCAAATATGGGAGTAGCCAGTTATATAAGCCAATTAATAACAAAAGCAAAGAAATACATTGAAAACAATACAATAATAGTGGGGAACTTTAACCCCCCCCGACTGAAATGGACAGATCATCTAAGCAAAAGATCAACAGGAAATAAAGACTTTAGATGACACACGGGACCAAATGGACTTCCCAGATATATTCAGAACATTCCATCCCAAAGCAACAGAATACACATTCTTCTCTAGTGCCCATGGAACATTCTCCAGCATAGATCACATCCTAGGTCACAAATCAGGTCTCAAACGGTACGAAAAGATTGGGATCATTCCCTGCATGTTTTCGGACCACAGTGCTTTGAAACTAGAACTCAATCACAAGAGGAAAGTCGGAAAGAACTCAAATACAGGGGAGGCTAAAGAGCATCCTACTAAAGAATGAATGGGTCAACCAGGAAATTAAAGAAGAATTGAAAAAATTCATGGAAACAAATGAAAACGAAAACACAACTGTTCAAAATCACTGGGATGCAGCAAAGGCAGTCCTAGGAAAGTATATAGCAATACAGGCCTTTCTCAAGAAACAAGAGAGGTCTCAAATATACAACCAAACCCTACACCTAAAGGAGCTGGAGAAAAAACAGCAAATAAAGCCTAACCCCAGCAGGAGAAGAGAAATAATAAAGATCAGAGCAGAAATCAATGAAATATAGAAACCAAAAGAAGAGTAGAACAGATCAATGAAACTAAGAGCTGGTTCTTTTAAAGAATTAACAAGATTGATAAACCCTTGGCCAGACTTATCAAAAACAAAAGAGAAAGTACCCAAATAAATAAAATCGTGAATGAAAGAAGAGAGATCACAACCAACACCAAAGAAATACAAACAATTTTAAGAACATATTATGAGCAGCTATAAGCGAGCAAATTAGATAACCTGGAAGAAATGGATGCATTCCTAGAGATGTATCAACTACCAAAACTGAACCAGGAAGAAATAGAAAGCCTGAACAGACCTATAACCACTAAGGAAATTGAAGCAGTCATCAAAAATCTCCCAACAAACAAAAGCCCAGGGCCAGATGGCTTCCCAGGGGAATTCTACCAAACATTTCAAGAAGAAATAATACCTATTCTTCTGAAACTGTTCCAAAAACTAGAAACGGAAGGAAAACTTCCAAACTCATTTTATGAGGCCACCATTACCTTGATCCCAAAACCAGACAAAGACCCCATCAAAAGGAGAATTACAGACCAATATCCTTGATGAACAGGGATGCAAAAATTCTCACCAAAATACTAGCCAATAGGATCCAACAGTACATTAAAAGGATTATTCACCATGACCAAGTGGGATTTATCCCTGGGCTGCAAGATTGGTTCAACAACCGCAAATCAATCAATGTGATACAATACATTAATCAAAGAAAGAACAAGAACCATATGATCCTCTCAATAGATGCAGAAAAAGCATTTGACAAAGTACAGCATCCTTTCTTGACCAAAACTCTTCAGAGTATAGGGTTAGAGGGTACATACCTCAATATCATAAAAGCCATCTATGAAAAACCCACAGCGAATATCATTCTCAATGGGAAAAACCTGAGAGTTTCCCCCCTAAGGTCAGGAACATGGCAGGGATGTCCACTATCACCACTGCTATTCAACATAGTATTAGAAGTCCTAGCCACAGCAATCAGACAACAAAAAGAAATAAAAGACATCCAAATCAGCAAAGAAGAAGTCAAACTCTCACTCTTTGTAGAGGATATGATACTTTATGTGGAAAACCCAAAAGACTCCACCCCAAAACCGCTAGAACACAGACAGGAATTCAGTAAAGTGGCAGGATATAAAATCAATGCACACACATCAGTGGCATTCCTATATACCAACAAGACAGAAGAAAGTAATTAAGGAGTTTATCCCATTCACAATTGCACCTAAAACTATAAGATACCTAGGAATCAATCTAACCAAAGAGGCAAAAGATCTGTACTCACAAAACTATAAAATACTCATGAAAGAAATTGAGGAAGACACAAAGAAATGGAAAAACATTCCATGCTCATGGATTGGAAGAACAAATATTGTGAAGATGTCAATGCTACCTAGAGCAGTCTACACATTTAAAGCAATCCCTATCAAAATACCATCTACTTTTATCAAAGAAATGGAGCAAATAATCCTAAAATTTGTATGGAGAAGACCCCGAACAGCCAGAGAGGAATGTTGAAAAAGAAAAACAAAGCTAGCGGCATCACAATTCGAGACTTCAAGCTCTATTAAAAAGCCGTAATCATCAAGACAGTTTGGTACTAGCACAAAAACAGACACATAGATCAATGGAACAGAATAGAGAGCCCAGAAATGGACCCTCAACTCTACGGTCAACTAATCTCAACTCTACGGTCAACTAATCTTCGACAAAGCAGGAAAGAATGTCCAGTGGAAAAAAGACAGTCTCTTCAATAAATGGTGTTGGGAAAATTGGACAGCCACATGCAGAAGAATGAAACTGGACCATTTCCTTACACCACACACAAAAATAGACTCCAAATGGTTGAAAGACCTAAATGTGAGACAGGAGTCCATCAAAATCCTAAAGGAGAAGAGAGGCAGCAACCTCTTCGACCTCAGCCGCAGCAACTTCTTCCTAGAACCATCGCCAGAGGCAAGGGAAACAAGGACAAAAATCAACTATTGAGACTTCATCAAAATAAAAAGCTTTTGCAAAGCAAAAGAAACAGTTCACAAAACCAAAAGACAACTGACAGAATGGGAGGAGATATTTGCAAATGACATATGACATAAAGGACTAGTATCCAAAATCTATAAAGAACTTATCAAACTCAACACCCAAAGAACAAATGATCCAATCAAGAAATGGGCAGAAGACATGAACAGACATTTTCCAAAGAAGACATCCAAATGGCCAACAGACACATGAAAAAGTGCTCAGCATCGCTCGGCATCAGGGAAATCCAAATCAAAACCTCAATGAGATATCACCTCACACCAGTAAGAATGGCTAAAATTAACAAGTCAGGAAGTGACAGATGTTGATGAGGATGCAGAGAAAGCAGAACCCTCCTACACTGTTGGTAGGAACGCAAGCTGGTGCAGCCATTCTGGAAAACAGTATGGAGGTTCCTCAAAAAGTTGAAAATAGAGCCACCATACAATCTAGCAATTGCACTACTGGGTATTTACCCCAAAGATACAAATGTAGGAACCCGAAGGGGTACATGCTCCCCAATGTTTATAGCAGCAATGTCCACAATAACCAAACTGTGGAAAGAGCCAAGATGTCCACTGACAGATGAATGGATAAAGAAGATGTGGTATATATATACAATGGAGGATTATGCAGCCATCAAAAAGAATGAAATCTTGCCATCTGCAAGGACTTGGATGGAACTGGAGGGTGTTATGCTGAGCGAAATAAGTCAATCAGAGAAAGACATGTATCATATGACCTCACTGATAGGAGGAATTCTTAATCTCAGGAAACAAACTGAGGGTTGCTGGAGTGGTGGGGGGTGGGAGGGATGGGGTGGCTGGGTGATAGACATTGGGGAGGGTATGTGCTATGGTGAGCGCTGTGAATTGTGGAAGACTGTTGAATCACAGACCTGTACCTCTGAAACAAAAATACATTATATGTTAAAAAAAAAAAAGAAGAAAAAGAAGATAGCAGGAAGGGAAAAATTATGGAGAGGAAATTGGAGGGGGAGATGAACCATGAGAGACTATGGACTCTGAGAAACAAACTGAGGGTTCTAGAGGGGAGGGGGGCGGGGGGATGGATTAGCCTGGTGTCGGGTATTAAAGAGGGCACGTACTGCATGGAGCACTGGGTGCTTACGCAGACAATGAATCATGGAACACTACATCAAAAACTAATGATGTAATGTATGGTGATTAACATAACAATAAAATAAAATTTAAAAAAAGAAAAGTATTGTTAGATATGGTTAGAATTTCTCTGCAGATATAAATTTGACAATGATAAATAATATTTAAGCTTTGCAAAAATCACATATTATTATTATTTTCAACTTACAAATGTGAAAACTGAAAAATTAGAGAGATTAAGATCTGAAAGGAATAGTGCCAAGACACAATGCCAAGTCTTCTGACTCACCTTACTAATGGATTAATGGTGAAGTGATGTGGATTATAATCCAGGGTCTACCACTAATTATCTCCAGACCTTTATTTAATAAGTGTCAAGGAAATCATCTAACCAGTGTGGCCCCATTTCATTACTCTAATGTTACGGTAAGGTTAAACCAAATGTTCCAAACTCAGACTCTTATAGGAGGCCAAGAGATATGTGTATAAATGAAGCATGCC